CAGAGGTCCAAACTTACATCCAACATTCCTGAGATGTTAAATACATCTGTGTTGGATGAGGGCAATATTAGCTTCTTCTTTACTTATGGTAGCAGTTTTCTGATTTTAAATGGGTGATACCATGGTCTGCTGCAGAGACCTGTTGAAGACAATCATTTTTGGATTATTGAGGGACTCAGACCAGCCCAGAATATTCACTTTGCACTCCCTCTTTTGTAATTGTTTTTTGTTTGTTTGTTTGTTTTTTTGTTTGGTGATTTCATGCCTGCAGTCAAAATCACAGATTTTGTGCTGCTATGCAAAAACTTGAGAGAATGAATTTGGCTCAATATCAGGATTAATTGTTGACTACCTTATTGCCAAACTTTCCATCCACATTTTCCAAATGTTAAATTAAGTCCTTATCTCGGCTATGTAAAGTCATTTTAAAAGGTTTTCTCTGCACCCATTCACATAAAACCTCATGCAGTTCTTTCTGTTTTCTGATGCTGTTCATTTTTACCTTAATCCAAAGCCATAACTATCTGCAGCGTGTTGCCACTCAGAGTGTTCATAGTGCTTAAACTACACAATGAATCAGTCAGCTGAAAAATTAAAAACACAACCAGGTTCTCTGGGATAAGTAATGAGACATTTTTTCAAGAACAGTGGTTTAAAACAGCCACAATGAAATCAAATTCAACAAGTTGTGTAATCTGAGGGGAAGTTTCCATGTTCCTTTTAATTTAATAGAGCAACAAATTCATTTCAAATTCATAAAGAATTTTTTTAAATTTTTTTTTTCATTCGCTGCTGTCCAAATCCCCTCAAAGTTGCATGTTTTATTGATTTACTGTTGTTACATGGATTTTAATTTTACCAATTCATTACATATCAGAATGCTAACAACACTTTTGGCTTCAAAGAAAACATGTAGTGAAGGCAAAGAAATGAACTTTTCTTTTTGATTGCTTTTTTTTTAACGTTATTTGTTTGCTTTAAAAAAAAAAAAAAAAAAAAACAGAACATTTGCCATGTGTAGTGTGAACTGCTTTTACTTTTGGCTTTTACTAAAATGAGGTAATAATAAATGATTGTATTTTTGTATCAAATTAGCATAAGTGGAGCAATTTATTCACAAATGACTCAACAAAAAAGCATAAAATCAGAATCTATGTTGCTTCAGATTTTAGACTCACAAATCCAAATTTGCATGAAAAATTTATATATTTTTTTTAATTTTTTTTATGAAACACACAAAGTTTCTGTGACCAATGATAACCCCTAAAGGGCTAAAAGTATATCTCTAGCAAATGCATTATGTATAAGAATATCTCAAAATCTCTAAAATTGATTTTCATTTTCAATCATAGCTCCAACTTAGAGAACCACAGGGGATCAGTTTTCTGTTATTTATAAGACATAACGACGTGTTTGAGCTTTAGAGAGAAGCCTATTCCTGTATTCCAAACACCTCCCCTAAACTTTCCTCCAAGCAATTATTTCGTAATCTAGGGCTGAGTTAGATATGGAAATTGTCTGCTTGTGTTTTGCAAGCAATGTGGGCAAAACTATGTCTCAATGCCTTGCCTTGACAACAACACACACAGAGACACGCACACACACACACACACACACACGCACACACACACACACACACACGCACGCACACACACACACACACGTATGCACACGCACACACACACACACACACACACACACACACATACACACACTTAGAATGATGACGTACCTCGTTCATCTATTTTCCATGGCTCTGACTGTACCTTCCTGCCTTTGGGGTTGCTGCCTCAACGAGAACAATGTCCCATTAAATGAGGAGGGTCAGGAAGTGAGAAACACCAAGGTGAATACCTAAACTTCCCACAACTTTTTCCGTGTACCGTTGTCACGGAAAAGCATGCAGACTAGAATTTCCTCTGCTGTTGAAATAATTCCTTATAGACTCATTACCCAGTGACAGTGACTGATTACTTTGAGTCTCTTTAGTTAAGGAAATTGATGATGAAGCATTTATCCCTGAGCAACCTCTTGTTAAAGTGGAATCATCTTTGAACCTGTAAGACGCATATTCAGTGTAAATGCTCTGTGTGCAAATAAACAAGCAGCTTACAGTTGACTGTTGTGGCCATTTGTGACCTCAGTAACACTGATCATAGTTTAGACAGTAAAGAATGCGTTCTCTGCAGTGTTTGACCTGCTGACAGGTCGATGAGGTTCTGATGGGATGTAGGAGCCATGCTCTGGTAAGGCAGTTGGAGTTTTTTAAGGGATCAAATTAAATGGTGATAAAAATTAGAACCTATGATTTTACTTAGATCCTTATAATAGATTATTGTTAGTACAAAGGGCCTGCTGTAGTGAAGTCCAACATGGTTTGTTTGAAAATGAGGCAGTTTTTCCTTTCCTCTCTGCCTGTTAACACAGCTGCTCAGGAAAGCCTAAATCCCTCCTGCAAGGTCAAGTTTACCCAAGATACTGTAGCACAATACCTCCAAACAACCATCAGCATTCTCCAAGGGAACACAATAGACATGTCTCCACCCTCTACTCTCATTCCCATACCTTGCAGCTAACACTTTGATGCTATCATCTTCCTGTTGGACAGATGGTTTTCCAAGACTCTGAGGAATGACAGGAGAAAAACATGTCAGTTTTCCACACCTTAGCCCGGCCGCCTCACACACTCTGGGACTCCTTTGTTCTCTGGCTGTTTCCATTAAGAGGCAGCGTAGGGCCAGAGGAAAAGACAGCAGGAATAACAAGCTGTACATGCAGACATTCAGGAGTCCGGGTGGAACAGCTGTCCTCTGAGCATCCTTCCTGTTCACTACGATCCAAGTTATGAGAGCAGGAGGGCAAAATGGTGGAGAGAAGTTTCAGGAGAGGAAACTTCTCTCCACTTCTCGGTAAGGTGACATGTATACCCAGATATTTACACAAACTATATGAAAAACACACATCTTGGTTTCTCTGTGTTTGACATGAAATCAGACTTACCTACTGTTTTAGCTCAGTTAGGATGATCTAAATTATTTCTGTTTGCTGAATGACTGAATAATGAGAGATTCATAAACACAACTTTAAAGCATAGTTTTCTTCCATTCCTCCAGTATTTGGTCAAATTTCCTTTAAGCTGTCTGAATTAGGTCAAATATTTAGGGTTTCTCTCCACAGGTAACTCCCACAATAGACTGCTAGAGTTTTGACCCGTTCCTCCTGGCAGAACCGATGGAACCGGGTCAGGTTTCTGGCTCTGGACTATACTACCAGCTTCAGCTGCATCTTCACTAATTCCTTGCTTTGGTTCTGGGACTAATTCACATTTTTCATACCCAGTTCATCCCTGGGAAACAGAACCCACCTCCTTCCTGAACAAATCCCCATGATTGTTATACTTGGATATAATTGTTAGAAAAGATTAATGTGGAAGCTTCAGGTATCTGGAAATTGGACCTAAGGATGAACTAGACTGGTGGAGGTCCATGCACCGTTCACACTTCTCTGAATTTTTCCATAATGTCACACAAAAAACAACCCAGTGTGCTTGAGGTGTCACCTGAAAATACATATTCCTCCATTTAGCTCAGATGTTGGGAATCAGCCTATCAGAAGACAAAATGTGTCTTGAAACAGACAAATTATGTCTGATTCAAGAAAGCCAAACCCAGTTTAAATAAAAAATTTGTATTAAGTTCGTTTTAGTTGGATTTATTTACATGCAGTTTACAAAAGCTTCTGATAGCATAATCTGGGTCTCCCCAAATTGTTAAAAAGCATAATCTTAGTTTATGGAAACTTTTAAATTTGGAAAAAAGTTTTCAAAAATTGTCTTATTCATTACTCTGACATTTCACAAAATAAATAATTCTATTCCTAATCTCAGACTTGATGTCCTGACACACCAGCAGAGTATTCAGGGTCACAGTATTAATGGGTTTTTTATGAAATGACAAATTATGTCTGGTCCGAGAAGGCCGAACTGAGTTTAAATAAAAATATGTTATTAAGTTAATTTCGGCTTGATTTATTTAGATCGAGTTTACAAAATTCACCACAACCGAAGATGAGCACGCTTAAAGTAAATCTCATTAATAAATTCCAGTTCAGATTTGGTTAATCTGAACTGGAATTCAGATTAACCTGCTTCCCTTCACAGGTAACTTGATTAAGCTGTTTACACAATTCAACACAGTCCATGGTCCAAAACAAGAAGCAATCTGAGTATATGGCAGCAGAGGGAAATATTCTCCACATGCCCCTGCGTGTAACTGGACGTCAACACTATGTACATCTCATCTTTTTAATAAGAGCCAAAGGGGAAATGCATCTTTCCAATCCAACTTGAATTTATTGCCACATACTTTCTCCACAGCTGCAGCAGAAAACACCCTTCAGTTATTGTCATTATAATGATCCTCCTCATTTTTCTCTGACTGTCCTTTGTGGCTTCAGGCCAAAGATTCCACTTTTTCCTCACTGTGGCCTGAGGAATAACTTTTACATAGTAAGAAAAAATAAATGGGCAAACAGACTTAAACTTAGAAGTATAAACTAATGTATTTAGGGACAAAATATTTTACAAGAAATAAAAAGCTACAGTAAAAAGGCTGCATATATGTGCAGATTGTTAAATTAATTCTTTTTGTTTCAGCTTCAGTCTAGTGGAATTTGAATTCAACAAACATTATGAATCTTATTAGAAACTTTAATCGACTGTTTAATCGATTTTTTGGTATTTGCTCATGTGTATCGTTTTGAAAGTCACTGTAGTTTATAACTATGATGTTTCTCTGCAGTTTATTTTACAGCATAGCTTCATTTGAAATGCATTCAAAAAATCTATGAAAGTGAAAACTAATACAAATTCAAAAACTATCCTCTTCTCTAACCACTGAATATGTTTTATGTTGCACTTGCTGATATGACCTCATGGTTATTATAAGCAAGCAAGATCTTGTCCAGTATGCATCAAAGTCTTTATGTTTCTTTCTCCACAGGATGATGTGAAAGTGCCCTCAAAACTCAGCATCTCCAAGTCTTTGAAAGTTTCTGAGTCTGTGTCAGGAAGCAGAGGAGGCAGTCTGCTGGAGCTCAAAGAGGCTGTGGAGGAACCTGGAGAAGCAGCAGAGGGTGACAAGGAGGACAAACCCCATGTAGACCTTTCCTCAGATGAAGAGGGGGTGGAAATTGAAGACACCATTGAGGAGACCCGAGCTGAACGCATCAAGCGGACCAGTCTGCAGCGGGTGCAAAATCTGAAGACCGTCTTCTCCAAGAATAAGATGGATAAGACCAGAGCAAAGACCAAAGAGAACCTGGAGAAGACCAGACAAAAAACCAAGGAAAACATTGAAAAGACAAAGCAGAAGACAAAGGAGAACCTGGAGAAGACCAGACAAAGAACGAAGGAAAACATCGAGAAGACAAAGCAGAAGACAAAGGAGAATCTGGAGAAGACACGTCACAACATTGAAAAGAAAATGGGTAAACTTGGAACGCGCATGAGTGTGAACCCTGAGCGAAAACAGAAGATTAAAACATCTGGTGACAAGATGAAGAAGGCCTTCACACCGGACCACGTTGTGTACGCCCGCTCTAAAACTGCCGTCTACAAGGTGCCCCCTTTCACCTTCCATGTGAAGAAGATCCGTGAGGGTGAAGTGGAGGTGGTCCAAGGAACCGAGATGGTGGAGGTGTCCAGGGAAGTAGAGCCAATAGGTGGAGAGGATGTGGAAGTAGACAATGCCGAGGTGGACGTTGAGATGGAGATGGTGAATGGAGGCGGGGATGAAGAAGAGCATGATGAGGATGAAGAAGAAGAGAGCCATGATGCCTTACACGAGGAGGACGATGATGATGATAAAGACAGCGACTAAATATAGAGCAAAGAAACCTTCATGCATTCAGACCAATTCTTTGTATCTACACTGAGATTTAGGCTTGATTTGGATTAAAAAGTATATTCAACAATAACTGGGACAGTGATGATATGTAGGTCCTATTTTCACAGGTTTGGCCACCATTTCTACCAATGACAGATGTTTTACAGTGTCTTCTGAAAACACAGCATAGCCCTATCGGTTTGGATGTGTCCATCACACATTTACTTCAGTCTAATATTCTAGCACTCACAAAGACCTAAAAACTGATAACAAACAACTAACATTCAAGGTTTTGCTTTAAATCTCCTAAATTTGGACATAAGTAGCCACATGCGTTTGTGTCACCAGCTTACACCAATAATAGAGTAGAAATGATGGCCAAAACCAAACACAAGCAGAACATCAGTCAATCTGGAGATCATTTTACATGCTTTCCCTTCTTTCTTCCATTGACCAGGAAAACTAGAATTAGAATTTTGTTAAAGCTTTCATAAATATTTTTTTGATCACTATATTGTGAAAATATAACATGAGCCCTCCTGTCTGTGGTTTAAATGTAATCTGCAGAAATAGACCTACTGATCAGAAACAACCAATCAGAGCCAAGAGGAGGGGCATAGTGCTGTCAAGTATCCAATTTGGTAATGGTGGAGAAACGACTTAGCATTACTGGAGCATTAGTATTAGCATTACTGGAGAGCTGTTTATCTGACATCATCAGTGGCTATGCAAACTAACCTGAGCATTAATGGCGGGCTCTGGTGTGAGGAGCTAGCTGTAGCCCAGCAGAGAGTAAGAGGAAGGGTATGAGCAGCACATACACAAGCTTGGTTGACCACACAGAGACCTGCCTCCTGACTCTGATTAGTTGTTTCCGGCAATGCTGTGTATTTCTGCAGATGGTAGTAGAACTGCAGGGAGGAGGCAGAAGAGCTTGATTTTTTTTCCACAGATTTTCTGTTTTATGTTATACTGTCACAACATAAGGAAGGTTTTAACAAATATGAAAAAAAATTCTAGTTGTTTTGAATAAGAATAAATAAAGAGGGAATAAGACACATGCTTTGTTTATAATGAGCAGTATCATCATCAGATTGGGAGGGAGCACCATAATCAGTGTAACAAAACCATACAAGGAGATTATTGTAAAAAAAAAAGTAAGGAAAGAAAAAAGGTAAAATGAAAGAAGGAAAGGAAGATATTATGTCATTGTTCAATATACACTCTTTCACAAAAGAAACACAAATATAAACTCACTTTCTTATCTATAATGAAATTCCTTTCTCATATGAATTCACCAAACCATTCCTGACATTTTCTTTGCTGTTTATCTATTTAAATCATGAGTTAAATATTATCTTCTTCTTCTTCTGATTAATCTATCTGTTTATAGGCACAGTGCTATCTGCTGTGATTTCTATCTTTTGCAGAACTCTTGTTTTTGTTTAAGTTTTTTTCTAAAACATTTTTCACCTTATCATGTTATTTTCCTTTCATACCTTCTTAGTGCTGGCAGACTTGCTCACACACATTGTGTTTTTTTAATATGATACTTTACTGTCCATTTATGCATATATATCTGACCATATCACTGTAATTTCCCATAAAAAGAACACATTACATGACATTGCTTTTCTTTTCTTTCTCTCTGAATTCACACACACACACACACACACACACACACACACACACGCACACACACACACACACATGCACACACACACCAGAGCGGAACCAGGTCAACAGTTGATCCTAGCAACAGGCTGCTTTGAAGCTAAACCTATTATGCCTTTGTGTAAGACTGACCCCTAGTGTTGAGAACTTTAATTTGACTACTTTCTGTTCCAAAATAAATTGAATCAGAAATGTTAACCATTCTGTGTTCAGAGGATCTTAATGCAGGGGTTCCCAAGTCCAGTCCTGGGGGGGCTCCTGTCCTGCATGCCCCTCTCTAACATCCTGGACCAGATGAAAAATCCCCTCAGCAGTCTTTCTGCTCCAAGGGGCCCGCTACTGAGGACAGGATTCAGGCAACCCTGCACTCCAGCAATGTACATAAAAACTGTGCTCTTATTTTTGGCAGCAGAGGGGCTCATATGTTATGAAACACGTATTTTTCATAACATTAATTTTAAACAGGACTTCCGCTTCCAAAAGTAACTGAGATCATAACTTCCAGATTAGATTTAGCACTATTTTACTTGTGCTATGTCTCCTGCCGTCTTGTGTACATAATGTGACGCACTATCTGAGCTAATGATTATTAACTTCAACAGAACTTCTCGCTGTTCATCACATGCGCTTGTTCTGAACTCTGCAGTCATGCTGAAATTTTGTTTTTGCACAGTGCATCATATGGAACCTACCATAAGTATTATTAAACAAAAGATGAGATATTCAGGCCGTTTCCATGTATGACTGTGTTTAGTGACCTCCCCTGTTTTAATATTCAACCTCTTGGATGGAGCTGATCCAGTTTTCTGCTTTTGCTTTGTCTGTATGTGATTGCTGACTGGCAACACAGCTTAACCACTAATGATTTAATGAATAAAACCCAAACTGAGTCACAGTTTCTGTGTTTTATTGAGCATTTACTAAAAGCTTATTAACATTATAAAATGTAATTAATTTAAGTTTTTCTTTTCAGTGGAAGATTTTAATTGTTTCTAATGCCCAGTTTTTAGCATGTGAAAACATTGTTGAATATTTTTGTCTCTGTAGTGTCATTCAATTTTTGCGTTGATTTTTTTTTGTTGATGTTTGTTTAAAATAAATGAATAACTTCTATTGTCAGAGCACTGAGGAGTGCTGGTGGGGACAACACTCTGTCAATTGCGCAAGATTTTACTGTTTTAGTAAATTTGGTGATGAAGGTATTGGTCAAATTAAAAAGTGAAGTTCAAAGCCATTTTGGAAGACCTATAATCAACTACATGAACCCACAAATCTAGTTGAAAAACGTGTCCCCTCTATATTTCTGTTAGTTCTTTCAAAGATTTGCTTTGAAAGCAGTGAATGCAAACTGGGTTCAACAGTTGTAAAAAGGACTAATTATTAAAATAATATTCCAAAAAAGTGAATAAAATGATTTTGTTTATTTTAGTTGGGAAAATTTGAAGTCAAAAAGACTCTCTCAGTGAATAAAACAATTTCCTTATGAAGATTAATTAGATTTAAAACGTTTCTTAACACCAAATACATATTATCATCTGAAATCACTCTAATGAGGAGACCACTACAGACTGGGGCAACGTTACTTTCCTCATGGATCATCCATCTCAATGTCCGGAATATGGAGAAGGAAGGGCGCTGGTGATTTTCCACCAGTGAAGCATCCTGATGCAATCCATATTTACAGTTCGCTCATCAGGATACGGGTGTGGCTAGTCTGTCCAACAACTCCGCCATGAAGAGTGGGAGGAAAACATCAACCAAAAAAAACCTTGTCAAAAATTCACCACCAATGTGGCTCCAAGCTATGGCTCTGGAGCCACAGTGGTTCTTAAGTAATGTTAAATATATAATAAATGCCGGTTTCGGCAGTTTTTTCATCGAAATTCTACAACAGAATGAAAGGATCATGGGCGCTGAAAAAAAGGAAAGGAATTCTGATATTAGAAATGTCAGAATTCCTACTTTAAAATATCAGATTAAAATGAGGAAAAACTTGAGAGTAATAAAAAAAACCCCGCTCCATAAAAACAAAATTAAAATTGTAAAACAATGTCAATATGGAAGAGGATTAGAGTGCTCTTGCTACATGCCAAACTTACTGAGTTTCTATGAAGATTGGGAGACCCGTTGTTATATCGGTCATGAAAAAATTAATAATATTGTGTATGTCCAACAGGTCAGCAGGGTTTAGATACACCTGGTGTCGGGCCGTTTGACGCCCGACAGGTAGGAAGAGGTGGGACTTTCTGTGACCGTCTGTAGCTTCAACAATACACCCGGAAATAGCTCGGTGCGCAGCAAAATACAAACGTTAAACTCTCTCAGTCATACGAACACGCCGCCAACACCAATCTATCAGAGCGAGATTTACAGTTTGGAGTCGGAAGTCGTAAATTGACTACATTCTATTAATTGGTGTCGGAGCGGATATCAGCAACAGCCTGCTTAGCAGAACTATAAGTAAGATTGAGGGACAAGCTTTCAGCATGACAGATTAAGCTCAACCTTTACCGCTCGTGTGTGGCGTTCACTGGGAAGCTGCAGTCTCCACAAAGGTGAGTGAAGGCCTCAGGAAATGAAACGCTTGCGTTTGGAGCATGAAGTGAAGTTTTGTTTGTTCCTCACTCTGCTAGCTAACGAGATAGCTTACCAATAGCTAGCTGGCGTACCGCTTTAAAAGTAACTTATTGAATAGAACTCCACTACTGTGTCGTTCGCCTTGTACACATTATTGTGGCAGGACACACAGACGTTCTCTCCAGAGAACCTCTGCTTTCAGCGCCCGTATCGGTGTACTGCACCGCTTAGAAGCTACGGTGTCTTTAACTTCCAGGTAGACCGACGTTTCCTACCTGGAAGTTCCACATGAGAACCGATGAAACCTTCTCACACTACCATAAAGCCAACAATGCACTTTTTATTCACTTTGATACACTTAGACAGGTTTATGTTTTTGCTGACTAATCTAAAGTAGGCGAAGCAAAGTCTCAATCTACCATTATAACCTGTCGCATAACTTTGTGCTTTTTGTTTCTGGTGTACCTAATGAACTCAATAGTACGGAACCCTCCACGGAACATGGGGAACATTTTTTCTTTTGCGTTACCTCACAATATACTTACTGCAATATTTGCTGGTCTATTCGTAAACAGTCATGAATGTCAATTTAAAATTTCAAATATATACACATTTAAAGAGCCTCAGTGAAAACCTGTTCATAACTCTTTGGTACAAAAATTGATTGAAAATCAACTTATTCACTGCATGTTTGTCTGTTTGTGTAAGGCTGAGATGGAACTGTACGAAAACAGCTCTTTATACCATTCATACCCAACCCTGGTCCTCGGGGACCGCTGTCCTGCATGTTTTTGATGAGTCTGGACTCCAGCACAGCTGATTCATATGGTTGCATTCCTGCAACTGCTATAGAAGCCGGTTAATCACCTGTTCATTCAACCCAGCAGCAGGGAAACGCCTAAAACATGCAGGGCAGTGGGCTCTGAGGACCAGGGTTGGGGACCACTGCTTTAAACCACTCAGACCACTGCTTTAAACCACTCAGACCACTGCTTTAAACCACAGGTGTCAAACTCCTGTGGTTGACAACAGGTCTGCAAAGTTGTGCAGAGGCACAACTTTTAGATGTGCCTCTGCTGCACCACACCTGAATAGAATAATTAGGTCATTAGCAGACCTCTACACAAGGAGGAGGTAATTAAACCATTTCATTCCAGTGTTTTGTACCTGTGGCACATCTAAAAACTGCAGGACAGTGGCCCCTGAGGACTGGAGTTTGACACCTCTGATTCAGATTGTCAACACAAAAGAGACACAATTAAAATGGTCAGACTACTGATTATCCCGTGATTAGTAGTCCAAATAGTTTGGTTGTATTTTTTTCTGCTTTCCTACTTATGGAAAGTTTGGGTTTATATCATAGGTGTGTGGTGCATTTCTGTCCTAAAGAAAAAGATATAAAACTTAAGATATTTCACAGCAAGATATGAAGATGCATGGAAAAACCTCACGAAAACCTTATATTATAGCAGAAAGTATGATGAAGAAAGGCTTGCAGTATTCAGTTATGCCCCATGAACTGATTAGTACATTATTGCGAGAAAACGCAAAACCTATTGCGAGGTAACGCAAAAGTTTTGCGAGGTAATGTAAAAGGGGGAAAAAAAAATTCCCCATGTCCCATAGAGGGCTCTGTACAATGAATAAGTAGGGGTGTCTAGCTACAACTTTTTCACTTGCGATACAATACCAATATTGCAGCTTTGGGTATTGGACAATGCCGATACTGACCTGATGTATCAGCATGAATCATTCATACTTTTATTACTTACTTTATAGTGTGGAATGTAGGAATGTCTTGATGAAGTAATATTACTCAGAAAGCAATGGTCAACAACATTATGAAAAAAACTTACCCATTTCTTATTAACCAATGAGTCTGCCTGCAGAATGCAAGCATTGCTGGATAGAAATGTTGGGATGGATTAAATGTTGGAGCGGAGTGATTCTTTTAGTGTGCTCATATATATTTTTTAGTTGCAGGCTGGTAACCCCACACCCGTTTCTTGGCTGATAGCAGTTCCATGGAGTGGAACAATAATACTTTTTTTTGTTTTAGTAGCAAAGTGATGGAAGGATATTTTAAATTGCACACACTTTAAGTAATAGTAATACACACCCACATATATACATATACATACACACACACTCATCAGGATCTTGCCTAAGATGATAAATATACATGTACCTTTTATGTTGTATGCTTTTATTCTGGCAAAACAAAGTTTTATGCAAATATGTAGAAGTATAGCTACATACTTCTACAGAAAGATAGAAGTAAGTTTTACCACACAGCCACTCCTAATGAGAACGAGAATGCTGAAGTATCTGACAGGCTCAGCAGCTGTTCCTCTCCTCAGCTGCCCAATCAGAGGAGCTTTTAGTAGGAACGCTCCTATAAATTGGCCGGCCAATAAAACGTCCCTGGTTTTCTTAATTTTGGGTGATCAGGTGTTACTCCATGTGAAACCGATCTTGTCTACCTCTGCAAAGGCCTGAAAGTCAGCCATTGTCCCGTTTTTTTGCTGTGACGCGAAAGAGGGCTGACAGATCCGCCCAGCAGGTCATGTCTGAACAAGCGCGGCTAACGGTCACCTCGCTGTTGATATATTTAGCGACTTTTCAGACCAAAAAAAAAATCAATGTGGGCCAGAACCACCAGGTTAGGCTTCTTAAAGGTCAGTGATCGACAGAAAACTGCAATCAGTGCACCCCTACTTTTTAGGAAGTGGCTGACTTCTTCTTCTGACTTTTACAACAGTTCAAAGTAACTTAACAAGACCAACAGCGTTGAAGCTTTGATCTTCTGCTAAGTCACATAAATGGCTAGTTAAAGTCTGCACGCACTTAGTTCTCCTCTTTATGGCAAAATTTAAATAGCTTCACTGGACTGGAAGCAAACATGCTAACCTTTCTTGAACATGCATCACAGTTGTTCTTTCATGCGGTCTTCTAGGTGTTCTGAATGGTTTTCAGTGCTAACTGTTTTTAAACCTCGTTTTCCAGGCGTCTTGGTTACACAGGTTGCATCATGGCAATGTGGATTCAGGCCCAGCAGCTTCAGGGCGACGCGTTGCATCAGATGCAGGCGCTGTACGGCCAGCATTTCCCCATCGAGGTGCGACACTACCTGGCCCAGTGGATTGAAAGCCAGCCTTGGTATGCAGCAAACCTGTGCTGGATTCTGTCTGAGTCTCTGTGAACTAAACATAGATGTTACATAGTTTTGTTGAAATGTTTCTTTTTTTTTTTCACAATGAATGGAAATTGTGTTGTCCTTTTTTAGTGCTTTAGTTCTAATAAAGCATTTGTTTCCTAGGGACTCTGTGGATTTGGATAATCCAGGAGAAGAGGCTAAAGCCAAGCGTCTGCTTGACAACCTGGTGGCGGAGCTACAGAAAAAAGCCCAGGTTCAGGGAGGAGAGGATGGCTTTCTTCTCAAGATCAAGCTGGGACATTTAGCCAGCCAGTTCAAGGTAGCTGCTGGAGCCCCTGTGGTTGGGTGTGTGGGTTCATTCATTTTAAGCGCGTGTGTTCTTTAGCTGTGCTACCTGCATCCCTCAGTGTATGTGCTGAGATCCTTACTTTACTTTCAGCGTAGGGCCAGGAATCTGACAGTAGGCACAAAACTGGATTCCTCAGGTGACTTTGCTTGTCAGGTATCGCCTAGAGACATGAAGCAAGGAAAACTACTGATCATACTCTGTGAGATGACATGTTCATTTGGTAATATAGGAAAAAGAATCTTGTACATGACTTCAAAGGTTTCGCCACAAACGCATTTAGTGTAAATATGGCTTTGATTGGTGTACTGAACTGCAGTGTTGGTGGGTGTGTACATAGGGATATTATTTAAAGTAGCTTGTCAAATCTGACGTGTAAAAATAGATAAGAGTTCACCAGGATCACCAATTCATAGCTCTACAAAAGAAGTCAAAATGAAATATTTAACTTAAAAATTATGGAATATTTTATTTTAAATAACTTTAAATAAAATAACAGGAAATGGCTCTAGAGTTTTTTGTTTTGTTTTTCCAGTCAGGCCTCTGTGTAAACTTCCTCTCCTGATGAGCATTTGGATTCTTTGTCACATGTGAAGATGTTTTCCTTGTGTGGAATGACTGGATTTTAACAGTTTAGAAATGATAACCCTTCTTAGATTGATGAGTAGCAACACTTGCTTGTCTACAGTCATTGGAGACGTCTTTCCTCCTTGGATTTGTGTTGACACATTCCTCTCTGTCCCAGAACAACAAACTTCAGAAATGCATGGATCTATAGGGATCCTCACATTGACATCAACACCCCCCCAGGTGCCAGTGTACTATAAATGTTGGTGTTGGATGGTGCTGTTGCATTGTGCCAGAGAAGCACAGTTGTTTCATGTGAGTTAAAGGGATATTAAATGCTGTGTTTTAACCACATGGAATCATTTTTGTCTGCAGAGCACTTATGACCGCTGTCCTTTTGAATTAGTGCGCTGCATTAAGCACATCCTGCAGTCAGAGCAGAGACTAGTTCAAGAAGCAACAAATGTAAGTTTGTTTGTTTTTTTTTTAATCATAAGCTGACATTTGTGGGGGAAAAAAATACTTCCGATTGCAGCAGAGCAATAAAACTAAGAACAATAGCACGTTGTTAGTTGTAATTTTTACCATCAAAACTGAAAGTACGTTTCCTAATGTTTCTGTGTGCAGGCGAGCTCTGGGGGTGGTGGGCAGGCCATGGACACACTGTCCCAGCGACATCAACAGATCAACCAAGCTTTTGAAGAGTTGCGCCTAGCAACACAGGAGACGGAGAACGAGCTGAGGAAGCTGCAGCACAGCCAGGAATACTTCATCATCCAGTACCAGGAAAACCTGCGCATCCAGGGTGAGACTGCTCTTCGAAGGAAACTTGGTGAAACAAACCTCAGTAATGAACATTTTCAAACCAGAAATTTACTATAACTTTCATTTGTGTTTTTCCTGCCTGAGGGGAAAAAATCAGAACATCATACCCACTAAAGCCTAGAGTTAGTGTTTTTGTCATCTTCCTCAGACGCCATCTGATGCTCTTGTCAGGTCTTGCTATAACAAACGTCCCCAAAGCATGACACATCCACCTCCATGCTTCATAGTTAGTATGAGGTTCTCTTCCTGGATTCCTGTGTTTAATTTGTCAAACATGGCCTCTGTTCTGTGTCCACAT